GATGTATGCTAATAAACATTAATAAAATAAATAAAATAAACATTCAGGCAAGCATAATTTACTTTTATTTCTCCTTTACTTATTTCGTACGGTTTGCAAATATACAATATACCCAGTTTTTAATGCCTTCTCTGTTTGATGATTAACTTCCTGCCTGCACACTGCTCATCATAAGAAAATTATAAAACATTTTTTTTAATCAAAATCCCTGGTGTTAATTGCTGAAAAACACTGCAGACTTGTTCAATCGTGTGTGCGTTGCCATTTGAGGAGATTAAAAAAGACCAATTAAGATGCAGAAATATGCTGCTGACTGTGTCAGTTTGAACGCTGCAACAATTAGTCAGTGGTAATTACAGCAGTACAAAACAGAACCACAAACCACCTGATCATTTCTAAATCTCCTCAGAACATATTTTAAAAAGCCCATGCTCATAATAATAATAAAACAGCTGCGTTCAGCATCAAAGTGCAATAGCACTGTGTTGTGCAGCTGTCAAATCGACATTTTACGGTTATTTTCAAGACAGTGAAAAGGTGTGTATGTTTTAGAATGTGTGTGTGTCGCAGGGTGTATTGATTTTCTCAGGCCTATAGGATGAGAAAAGAAAAAAATCCAATCAGTTTTTCATTCCTTTAAAAGTCTTCATTTACCCAGATGTAAATATTTAGCTGGATGCCGTCAATAGTGGGACTGAATGGTCTGAAGCTGTGTTTGCTGTTTTACTCAGAAATCTTTTGCATGCTAACGTCAAAGCACAAATATGAAATCTATCGGCTGAGGCATTCACTGAATTTGTTAGACATATATTGGGACAAAGGAAAAAAAGGCTAAAATTTTGCAATTTCTAAGAATACTGATTTTTCTTAAAGAAAACACAAAAAGACCAACACAGTTAAATAGTATCTAAAAGGAAAAAAAAAAACAATCTGGAAACAAATGAAACAACTGACAGCCTAGAAGGGGAGCAATAACGTTCTTTGTACAAAAAATGTGGCTGCGAGAATAGTTTGCGCTTCCAGTATTTCTAAAACTGCCCTTCATTGTTGCTCTTTCAAAATCCCCTTTCTGAAAAAGAAACACTCTGCATCACTGTTTTTGTCCTAGCTGAGAGAAAAACCAAGGCCTGCTGCCTCCAACAATGTTGGAATTCAAATTTTATTTACATTTTCTTTCCCATTAAACATTTTTCAAATCACTTTTATTCAGCATTTAATTTAAAATTATTTTAAATAGATTTTAACAGCGTGCAGTATTTTAAGGAAGTGTCTTATGTTTACGCACTCAGTTTACAGTTTAGAACAACCTCAAAATTATATTAAAATATTTTTGAATGAAGAACTGAATTTGTGGACATGTATCAGTGTAATTTTTTTAAATCAGTTTTGATACTTAAATGTTGTATTTAAACCAGCACGTGTAGATTTTTCTTACGTTTCTTTTTAACCAACAAATCCTTGAAAAAGAAATTCTGCGTCTTAGATATGAAACGTCCAACAAAGCGTTTCCTCCATCAATCTTGAGCATCCTCAGAGCTGCAGAGGCTCCAGCGCTCTGAGCTCTGAGTGTGTGAGCGTGTGTCATGGGGCCGGTTAGCTCTGCTGCAGAGTGGTACAGTCATATCTGCACAGACACACGGGCTTTTGTCATCGCCTGCAGATGTGCAGCAGCCAAAACATTAATGATTTGTTTGTGCAAGCATTTGCAATACAGTATTCAATGACGGCACTCTGCATAGACGACTCTGGGACTCATCAAGATGCCGTTGTATGGCTGAGCTTACAAAGGCAAGAGTGTGATGAGGAGGAGGCTTCAGGATCTACTAGGCATCCATCATTTGCATTAAAAGGGGATATTTAATAAATCTGTTTAAGATTGTTGTAAATTTCAGTTTTCAGTATAGTTTTAAACTGATTATCCATTTTTTGAATTTTGAGACTTTTTTTTCTAAAAATCACTTGAACAAAACAAAATCTTGCAAATAATTGTTAATGGTTAGCTTTCAGCTAAATCCTCCTAATGTGCTCTGTTGCCGAGTGTTAAACAGTCCTTCCGTCTCCTACCTCGTCCTTCCTCTTAATCACGAGTGCACTTGCTAGCATGTGTTTTCAGTACTGAGTAGTGATTAAGACACAGCCATATTTGAGTGGCTTCTTGAAGACATCCTCAGTACGACTACATGGGTGGTCCGCAGGCCTGCACCCAGTGGTGAGAAGGAATTAAAACAAAAGGCAAACAAAGCCCCCACTGCAGGGGAAGCGGGCTACAACTATGTTGTCACTGTCAGCAGGGATTTTATCACTTCACTACTTTTTTTTTTTTTTTTTTGCTTAACAGATGCCTGGAGGAAAAAAAGGTTTGAAATAAATATTTTAACTCTTTAACACCAATTTTAAATGAAACTGATAAGAATAAGGCGTACTTGTGTACAGAAGGGAAAAGTAAGTGCAGTACCGTCATCTTGAAGAAGTTAAATGTGTCAAACTTTGGATATCTAAGAACAAATCCTCTAAAGTCTGTTTTGAGTATTTGTACACAAACACCCCCACCACCGTCTGCACAGATACAAGATTGAGAAAGTGGCGGCGCGGTGAAAAGCTCGCTCACACTTTCTAGGACACGAGTAAGCTGTGCTGCCAAGGTCAGCGGCACACATGTTCTAATTGTGCAAAGAGCTTGACATCTCCAGGCAGGATCTGGCTGGCCGGGACTATACAAAGGTTAAGTCAGCAGGCTTTGTAAAAGCACTCCTAAGCTGACTCCCCCTCCAACCCCACCCCTTCCTTTTTCTTTTTTCACACCATGCAAACACACATACACTAACCCTCCATGTCCCCTTACCCTGGGGGTGGGGGGTGGGGG